TCATGTAGGGGTCGCTTCATTTTGTACTACAATGTATTTTCGATTATTTATTATTTGTATCTAATTTAGTCTATTGATGGTTTAGAATATAAATCTACCTAAAATAGGATAAAAACAGATTGACTACAAACACAAGTGTCCTATCTGATTAAAGGTCAGTATTGTTTCACGATCCCATGCATTAACGCGTTGTTACAATGAGATGTAAAAAGTCATGAGTTCGTATTTTTATAAAAATGTTTGTTAGTTTAATTTAAATAATGAGGAGGAGTCGTCCATCAATCAGATTTCTTAGTGAATTGATTAAAGGTTGTAAAACTGAGAATGAAATTATTTACAGGTAAAAGCAATAAATTATATTTCCTTTTAAGGAGATTAACTAGAATTCCAAATTAGGGGTTTTTTTTGTTTTAGCAGATTTCTTTTATGGTTTTAAAAATGTCATACAGTTTAAAAACAAATTTCTTGGCACTCTTGTAAAATCACATAGCTTCTTGAGTATCAAATGAAGACTTTAATTCATTTTAGAGGTTCTCTTGACTTTCGTCATCTTGCTAACTTTTAAGTTTCATCTTTGAAACTATATGATCCAGCATCCAGCTTAAAACCATTTCTTGGAGGATTTTAAGTGTTTATGCGAAATGGTTAGTAGCCTTCATTCTGTCTTTTTTACATTTAATATACAGGGTGTCCCCCATGTGGTTTAAACGTTTGATTTCATATTACTTGCCCATTTATGTACCGAATATTTTGAAACTTTACACAGTTTATGAAGTAGGGTTTAAAATATTCTGTATATATCTGTATTCTGTTAATATTCTGTAAAATTTCAGATCCCTAACCCTTGTAGAAAGAAAATTTCGGCATATCGAAAAATGATACTTAAAAAAATAAAAATTGTGTTTTTGGTTTTGTAAAATAGTGGTACTCACATTCTAGGGAAATAAGGCTTTTTGTAAAATCTACATGTAGTCCAACATTATTCAAACATCAATCCACAGTGACACACTGATAACAGCGCCAAATGAATCATAAGCTTTACAAAGAAGTTCTGCTGCATCCGGAGAAGTTTCTTTTCAATTGGTTGTTTCAGTTCCTCATCATTTTTGAGGCTATAGGTATTAACTTCTTCCTTCAAGTAAGCCCATAAAAAGAAGAAGACACACAGTTAAATTTGGGGATCGGGGTGGCCAATCTAAAAAAAAATCACTTCCACGACTGCAACGGCCATGAAGGTTGTAATTATTCAGTAATTGATTAACATGATTTAAGAAATGACGTGGAGCACCATCCTGTTGGAAGATGGATTGATCCATTTCTGGAAACGAAAATGAGGCAAGACAAGTTGATTTAAAACTTGTGAATACCTATGTCCAGTCATTGTAGTGTATGAAATGTCGTAGGATAGAACGACATTACTACTGACAGCATTCTTATATAGAAAGCAAATTTGTAGAATTTCCAATATGCCACCATTTTCCTACAATGGTTAGGGTACTGACATTTTCCCAGAATATTTTTAAACCCTACTTCGTAAGTTATGGAAAGTTTCAATGTATTCGGTCTAATAATGGCCAAGAAATATAAAATCAAACGTTTAAGCCTCTTCGTGGGATACCCTGTATTTATGAGAGTAGATTTATCCTTGGAATTCGTAGGTTTAAAATTAAAATTAAATTTCATTTTTCAAATCTGCACCTTGTGTCTGTTTTATATGTAGGCCTATAAACGAATGAATTTAGTATGACATTAACTATTATAACATTATGCCTTGTATAATGGCATATCTTTGAAAGAAGAATTCTGTAAACTTGACAGCAAATTGGTACAGTTAAAGTATTTTTCTGTTAAAGTTAACTGATCTTAGGTTTGAAATTATAACTTGTTGGGGTCACGTACTCTGATTTCTAACTTATGATTTGTATGGTTTCTTTGAGACTTTTGTTTCGTCAGAAGAGTACGTCCATCCTGACGACAATTTCGTGAAATACAATTTTGTAGACTCTGATGCCTTTGTGACGTAAAATTCTAGGGGGGAAAACTAGTATTCACCAAAGTCAGGCTAGGCCTACCCCTAGAACCAGCCGCACTCTAATTTCTTTCCCGGAGTGCTCAGAAGGAGCCGAGAAAAATCCAGGGGTCGATACGAAGTTGTCACGGCTTTGACTGAACAATTATTACATTTAATCGAAGACTCAGAGCTCTAGAAGCGCTCAGGAAATCCTGCAGACGCTCAATAGGAGCTATTTCATCCCCATGACATTTTTTTGGAGAATTTTGCCTAACTTTTGGATCGACTCTGTATGACCAACGAGTATTCTATCCTAGCCAATTTAATAAACTACTCGTATTAAACTTTAAACTGGTTACTAAAGGCTATGGTAAAAAAATTAACGTTTGGCGATTGAATACACAAAATATAGTGTAAAAATACAGAACAGAGTCGTCATTGCCTGATTAGTATATTTAAACGAATAATTTAGCGTGAGGTGGTTTAAATTAAATTTAATACTATTATCCTTTGTAATTAATTGTTCAAATCGGACCACTCCCAAGACTTGATTCTTTGACCCGCTAAAAGACGGGGCTAACTCAGACGACAAGTCTCGGGACTTGTCTAAGGGTATCAAAACGACGAAAAACGAGAAATAATTTAGACGTTAAAATTATACAGTAAATTTAATAAATAAACGTGACCGTTATAATTTCGAATTAATTCAAAACTTACGGCTGCCGCTAGTTACTGACAGACAGGAACTGGCGGGTATGAATCAAATCGGCGAATTTTAAGATATTAAGAACAAGAATTTGATATCTGAAATAGAATTTGGAAACGTGGATGCGTATTATAAACTAAAATTAACGTAAAACGTGATTAAGTATCAGCTAACCTTCGGAATATCGGCAATCAACTTGTAAGCGTAGGTAGTCTTGTAACAACGATGTTACATCGAAGACGACGTACGAACGAATAATCTGTCTTGAAATAAAATCCCGCATTCCAGTCCGGTCGAGGCTTAAGCTTTTATGTCCCACGCCACTCTTGCGCGGTGGTACGCGCAAGAGTGGCGTGGAGCGGGGTTGCTCGTCCGTTCCCGCAAAATGTTTGAGTGAGGGCCACCCTGCGCTAGTCCTATTTAGTTACAAATGTTTAATAAACTGTTGTTGAAAGAAATTAAATAAACATTATCATCATTATCAATTAATTAATAATATTTTAGAGTCATTTTAAAAAGTGGATATTACTTATTTTAATGTTTAACTTAAATAAAAGTAACAGCCTATAACCTGTAACGTGAGGTAACCTGATGGATAATATCCTTTATACGAACATTATTTACCTTTATTTCATTTTTATGTTCTTCAATTAACGCAGTGCAATCTTCATCGACGCATCTTGATACCGTTTACCTGAACAAAAATGACAAGACTAACATAGCTGTCCCCAGTGACAAGAAATCTCAAAGAAACAGCAATTTGCTCTTGCATAGGTATACTTTCTGTCAATACAAATACAGTGTAGTACGGAGGTCTCATCTTGTACACTATCCACTGTGGCCCCCAAACCGCCACGACACGCGTCGTGGGACAGGTCGTGCGTGGAGCTGCTATACGTGCACCGATGCTCCAGCCCGCGCATTTTCACCGTCGCGTGGCGCATAGGCTTTACGTGCTCTAGCTGATTGAAAATTCACTTGTTGAAACACTAGTCTTGAGGTTATCTCATGTTGTCGTTGGCATTAAATATTTGCTAAATCGGTCGGTTTAACTTTATTTCATGAATTGGAGTGCTATCGTGTGAGTACTTCACTGTGTTTAAAACTAGGCCTACGTTCTTTGGCCAATAGCCCAAGCTATGGCCACCACCAGGCCTAGGAGAAGGCTATTGTGGATAAAAATCGGGTAAGTTCTGGTGCTCATTTTTGTTCGTAGTACGTTTTTATCCCCTTTAAAATTTGGCACCTTGCACCTTTTGCTACTCTACATTCTACATGTGAAAAATCGAGACGAGCCATGTTCTTGAGGTTGGTTATTATTAGTACTTATTTTAGTTGTTAGAGCACTAACTTTTTACAATTGCTTTTGTATAAAATAAAACAAAACTACTCAAATTTAAAAGACAAACTGAGCTCAATGAGTGGCACAGCCAGGGATCCCGGCTCATTCCGTAAAACCCAATATAATTGGTGATAAAAGTACGTCAATGGAGGATAGAACGGCAAATTTTTCATATCTTTAATAAAAAATCAAACTTTGTCTATAATCTTCAGTTTTCTGTGGAGAAACAATCCGTTTCAGCTTGACTATTCACTACAGTGCAATGCATAGTCCATCCGTAAACCAAAAACACAAGGTGAACTACAGATAAGACACTTGTTGTCGGTTGGTACTCTAGTTCTTAGCGTTCAGTTCCAGTTTGTTCAGTCCCAGCGCAACATCTCCATCTGACGGTTGCCAAGTCATTCAGTATCTTCGCGCCCATCTAAATAAGCCCTGCTTGTTCACTGACACCGTTTCTCCCACCAACCTCTCCAGTCTTGGTTTAAACAGCACCAATTATCACCTTCATGAAAAATTATGTATATAACTTTATAAAATATAACTCAAACAAAGGTCGTATTTGTAATCTGAAGCATAGTTTATTTCTAAATAAATATTTCTTTTTGGGCAATATTATTCGCCATTAAAACTCTTAATTTTAACTGATTGTTTTTGTGACGTGAAATATCTGTATGACATACAAAACCGCGCTCTTTAACAGTTCTGCATGGACAAAGTAACTGAGGTTATTATCCGCAAGCCGTTTAAGATCGTGATCCAGAATCTAACCGTTTCGTGCGCGAGTAGCCCAAATCAAAGTGACAACTTTGGAACGTGACTCCCTAATGTATGCTGATGCGGCTGCGTAGTACTAAGTACGTGGTGGGGGGGGGGCGTAGATAGACAAGGAGCGCTGATCGCCGAGCCGCGTACGCCGCCGGTGCCGTTATTTGATTATGGTATCTGAGGCAGTCCGGTCGAACATCCTACCAGTTGTCTGCCGGCCCTACCGATATGTGAGTATCCATTGCTTACACACATACCCTCATACTCAAATTAAGTTTAGGCAATATACATGTTATGATTAGATGTTAAAATCTTCTAGACACCTTGTAGCATTTAATACAATTGTAGATTATTAAATTAAACTAAACAATTAAATGACTACGTTTCAAATTTATGTTTACATATTTAACATCTAGGATTGGGCTAGAATTACTGATTAGCCTGTCAAACTGTCCGACTGACTTTTTTAAATTTTTTGTTTGTAAATATTTCGATAGTTACTGAGATTATAGTATATTAATTTTTATAAATTGATTTTGTAAATTGATCTTTGTAAATCAGGGTTTATTTAACACCGTAAAGATTACAACAATTAATTACTGCTTCTGTGATCTTAACGAAAGTAGAAGTTCTTCTGGTTATAAAACATGCATTCAGCACTCAGTAATTGGAAATAGGGTTGTAGAGGATATGTTGAAAGTGTTTTTGTTTTAAATATTAACTACTATACTTCTTCACAATCAAACACATTTTTTGTGGAAAATTTTTGACAAATTAACAAGTATTTATTCAAATTATAATCTAAAGAATATTATAGGCTATACCAAAAGAAATATCGATATGGATAGCTCTGTATGGGAATGTTAGATCAAAACCTATGAGTCAAAACGAAAAAAATCTGGATGATTATTCGTGTAATATCTAAAAAAAATATAACAAATTGATGTGTTTATTTTCAACAAACCTTAGTCAATTTATTAATAACAAATATTAATTAGGTTGTCGAACTTCAGATCAGTTGATGTGAATTAATTTATCACCCATTTAAATTCCACTTAAAAATCTGTATAAACCTGATATTATTTAGACAGTGTCACATTGAAGATAGCTTAATACAATTTACCATATTTAATACTATTTTACCACAGAAATTAAAGACCCCAGCGAAAGTGTGTGTCGTGATCATGTTTCAAGTGACGAGCCGGTTTCCTAGCGGACACTTAGGGTAATGAGCTCACTGAAATGCGTAAAAACTGATGACTCGGACTTCTGAAATGATTTTCAAATCTCACGAAACGAGAAGTGGGGAATAACAGTCGGCCTGGGTGAGGGCCGTCCGGTTTACTTTGCTTGTTATTTATTAGTAAATTAAATAAAATCCTTTCAGATATCTACTTCTACTTATATATAATTCAGTTTTAAAAACCTTTGTACAACTAAATCTAGAGTTCTACTGGACCGATTTGATTAATTAATGAGTCGTTGGAAAGCTTAATTAGTGTTGATTTGCAAATAATTATGAAAGTTTATTTTTGTTATGATTTATGGTGAAAATTTAAAAAAAAATCCATAAGAAATACATTGACACGGGGTTTTCACATTTTTTATTTGGATGAAACTTTTGGCTGCCTTTTTAGGTATTTTCAATAAATGCATGGAATTTTAAATTTATAGGAAATTTTCTTTTCATTCAGAATATCACCTTCCACTTTGGTCGATAACCTCACCATTAAAACGCCATTTACAAAAAAGCTTATCAGCCTCCGAATTTGTAGTAGTGAGAAAATACTGAGTTAGTGATTTTTTTGTTTAGCTTTGTACAACTAAATCTAGACTTCTACTGGGCCGCTTTTGTTAATTAATGAGTCATTGGAAAGCCTGGCTTATTTGGATTTGCAAATCATGATAAAGGTGCGATTTTATTAAATATTTCTGGTGAAAAAGGAAAAAAATACATAAATACATTAAAAAATGCTTTTTCAAATTTCTGTTTTCAATTTTCAATTTGTAGCCAACTTTTGGCTGCTTGTATTAAGTATTTTCAAGAAATACATAGTAGTAATTTGTAGGAAATGTTATTCTCTTTCAAAATATTGCATCCACTTTGGTAGATTTTCCGACAATTTAATGTTATTGGTAAATAAGCCAAGCGATTTCAAATTTGTAGTTGTTAGAAAAAACTGAATTAGGGATATTTTTGTTTAACTTTGTATAATTAAATTTACAGTTCTACTGGATCTATTTTGTTAGTTAATGATTTGTTAAAATCCTAATTCGTGTAGATTTGCAAATAATTATGAAAGTTTGATTTTATTAAACATTTGTAGTGGAAAAAGGAATGAATTATAAATGGCTTTATTCGAGGTGCTATTTCCAAGCTTCTATTTGTAACCAACTTTAGGTTTACATAGTATTAATTTGTAAGAAATATTATTCTCTTTCTGAATATCACTTTTTACTTCTGTCGATTTCCTCACCATTCAAAAGTGATTTGCAAAAAAACTAAGCAATCTCAGAATTATAGTTGTTAGATGATACTGATTTAGAGATATTTTTGTTGAAGTTAAACTTTGTAGAATTAAACCTACAGTTCTACTTGACAGATGTTATTAAACAATATGTCACTTAAAAACTTCATCCATGTAGATTTGCATACAATTATGGAAGTTTGATTTTTGAAGATTTATGGCAGTAAAGGGTTTGCCGGTATGCACCGTCTAATTATTTAAAAATATGTGTTAATGTTTTATTTAACAGCTGATTGTTGTGTTGTTATTTCATTATTTTTCTTTGTTTGAATGTTGTTGTTCACAAGTATTTGCATTTGTGTTAAATTGTGTTCCTTATTGTATGCGTGTGTTTCTAAAGCTATGTACCTGTACCATTAATATTAGTAAGTAAAATGGTGCATGGTTTCATAACTGTTATTTTCCTAAAGACCGTTGTATTTAACCACAACGGGCTCTGTGGCTAGTTTATTTATAAAATACATGTATATGAAATAACGAAAGGTTCTAACTATTTTTTTTTATAACAATTAATAAAATTCAATCAAAAATGATTACAACGTAAAATAAATCAATAAAAACTCAAAACTAACTAAACCCCTGGGGAATGAATATTTTGTGTATTAATCCAGCTCCAACGGTGTTTTGTGAACTCATCTACCTCGTAGAACACAAGATTCGTCAGTGCTAAACAGCATACCTAGTATTTGGAGTTGTTAACGAGTTCATAACAATACATGCACGCGATTTTCTTGACATTTCTCTTTCTGTATTGACTTTATTTCCATAAATGTTTTCCATATTATAATTTATTTCCCCGACTATTAAATAGTTACCAAAGATTAATTTGGGTTGTTTTGCGAACCTAATAATAAATTAATCGACATCGAATCTTGCATTGCTGAATTCTTTACGTGAAAGACAACTAACTGTTCGTATTAAGTTATGTAGTCTGTGTGGTTGTCTGTTTAGGAATGATGTTTTGCCGACACCTAACGAGTTCATTACACGGTTGCCATTCCAGGTCATAGAATGCTACTTGGTTTAACTGTAATACCATTGACTATATAACCACGCTGACTCGAAAACTCGAATAACGAAGACTGGATGGATAAAGTAGTCAACATAATTAACGTTATCAAGGAATGAGAATGAAGCAGCTTTAATTGTTAGGGCATAGTGAAAGCATAGAATGTTTACAATGGCGAATGGATGTACAAAGTAGTGTTGGCAGACTGCAATGTGGAGCCTAATGTTTTATCAATTCTCAACTGGTTTCTTTTGATTATGCGGAACTAGTAATGGGCCAGGACATGTAAATATAAGATGACTACTTGGACTGACTTAAATATTTTCTTTTGCTAAGGATGTAGCAGATTTAAGATAGCGCGGATTTTCTTCTCTGGGTTATTGTGTTCATTTGATTGGTTTTGTTGTTAAAAGACATTGGATTAGTTTATGTGAAAGTTGATGTCTAATTAACCACAATTTTAATGAATTATAATAACGTGTTTGAAAGACTAAGGGATATAATCTAGGATTAATTGCACTTGACTGGGCCTAGATTTATGCCTTCAGTTATATTTTTGTCTGGCTGTGTTTTTTAATAAGTATTTCTAACTATATACGTTTCTGTTCCTAGAGTAAATCATAACACAGTATAAACACTGGCTAGTATAGTCGTTAAGCTTCAGCTACATTATCGTCTCAATATGCCATTGTTCGTCATTTGCACAACTTTCCTAAGAGCTAGAATAAAACTGCTTTAGATAGATATGGATGCTATAGATGAGTATTTACGTGTAGCAAGTTCTTGACCACTGTATATTGGACGGACAGAATCACTCGCTACGAGATGTCTTCCTCGGTTGCAGATTGTAGATTTATGAAGGACGCTTTCCTAAGCATTCCTCCATCTTTTTTTAGGACCAAATAACTATTTACGAGTACTTTTTGATGCATGGGAGTATATATTAATATATAATTTTTTATTGAAAAATTTAATTAAATTTAATTGTACGTTTAATTGTTAAAACGAATAAGACATTTATTCTGCTAGAATTTGAATTCTCCACCTTTTTACATGTATCATACTGGATTGAAAACAAAAATATTTGGGTTTCTGTTTGAATTACAATTATATGCTTAACAAATTAGCTCAAGTAATAAATACAAACTTTGTTTTCGAAAACAGCTATGATAAACTAGCAAAATTAATGCAAAACGTATTTTTACTCGTTTTTTTATAACTTTCACTGAAGGAATAGATCTAATTGATGGCCTGTGAGTTTGGCGAAGCTTGCAATCGAAATTAATTGATTAAACGGCAACAGTCTATACCAAATTTTACTAATTTAATATTAACGTTCTCTTTGGCTTAAGCTTGATGTTGGTAAATATGTTAAGTGGGAACTTTTTTCGAATACACTAGGTGCAAGGGTGCTAGGTGCTTAGGGTGATCGGTAACCGTTTTTTTTATCAACGCTAATTCGATTGATTTGTGGCTTTTGGACAGAGGTGCAACCGTAGAGACATAAGGGTGTTCGTGAGTAATGCCTTATGCGTTCTGTCATAGACCGTATTAGCGTTCAATAGAAGATAGGATGACCCTTCTGATCGCTCACTATAGTCTTCACTAAGTCTAAGTTGTGTTCGTATCCTTCGTCGTATATATCATCGTAACGTTGGCTAGTGATGCGATATAACTACAGTTATAGTCAGTTTTTTAGTCCAATTGATGTCTCAAAGCAGTTGAACAATTCCGACCAGATTGCAGATGAGGATCCAGGGTCGCAGTCACATGTATACATTATGTATGTGCCTCCCTATTTATACGACAGTTACTCAGACCTTAGGCACATTAACCTGCACAATCGTAGTTCACACCTCAGACTCAAATGAGGGTTTGGACCGTTACCTGACAGTCATTCAATCACTCTTCCTGTCCTTCCTAATGTGTGATACCTCGGGTTCTCAACATCTCTGTTTGTGTCGTTACTTAGCAAATTACAATTGCCTTCTAGTCGGTGAGTCATTCCAGCTGGATGATTAGTTCTGAGTTATGCCGGGACGTGTGAAATTCTGATACCCATTGTCCTACTTACTGAGAGAGGTGAGCCATTGGCCTGAACGAACTACCGACTTTTATACCGTGTAAATTATGATCTGACACAGGAAACAATCGACTAGTTCACCATGGGAACTTCGTTAACAGTTTCAAGGGTGATGAACGTTTGACAAAATACGTGGTGAACTTCCCTGGTTACTTCTTTCGGATCTAAAACCAATATTTAGATTTGTATTTATTTTGTTTTGTAGATAATCCAGGAAGATTCTGAATTTAGATTGTACCCATCTAAAACAACTGTGTGGTGATTTAAGGGAATACATAAAGCCAAGCTGCAGATTAATAGATTTGTGTAATTTGCTCTCTTGACTGACCTCACATAATGGAAGATGTATACTTTAAACAGTTTAGTAATAACATAATGTTGATTAAAACACTGCAATTTATTAATTAAAACACTTGTAACTTTCTGATGAAAATTAAATCTATAATAAATTGTATTTAAGTGGTGTATTAAAAATACCGCTACTGTGATCACCGAAAGATATGGATAGTTTGGGTTTATAGATCTCGTAATTGAAAATATTGACAAACATATGCGGATGTCAGCTAAGCTATTTCTGTTAAATAGAGTAGGTGGATTCGGAAAGATTTGAGGTTTTTGATTTGTTAGAAATTAGAAAAAAAACAAACACAACAAACCGACAACGTAGTATTTGATCTAGATATCCATATCCCATAAAAAAAAATAAAAAAAATGGATAAGCTTAATCCAATTCAATTACGATAAACTTAGATTTATAGTGTATCGAACAAACATAGACAAATAATTAGATAGTGTCAGTTAGTTTTTGGACAAATTAATCAAAACAATATTTTGAGCAAGTGTTAACTGATTTAATATCACGTTTGTATGTTTTCAAATTTATAGACAAGTTTGTTGATGACACCACATTGCTTGAAATTTCAATGCACATTGAGGTATCTTGCTCATTTTCACAAAACAATTAGAAAGAGTACTTTTTATTCGGAAACCTGTAACAGTTATTTTCGAACCTATATTTCTTATGATAAAATATAGCTAATTTTCTAAATCCTCTAATTTGAATTGAGACTTTCGCTAAAATGCTGCACATTATCGAATGAGCTCAAGCGAGTTTTAGGAGGGAAATGGAGGGACCTAGTAAAACTGCCCAAGTGTTAAAGGCGGATGCGCAATCGAAGTGTCTATAACGGTCAAGTGAAAACAGAACCTCGCCTAACTTGTTTGGTTTGAAACCACTTAACTGGACAATTAGTACGCTCTTGTAGTATTGGATTACCACTACTAAAAGTCAAGCTTCACAGATTTTAACAAAAATGTAAATTCAATTAGAAATTAGATCAGTGTCAAACTTGCACGATAATCTAATTAGTTTTATTTTGACAGTATTTTTAGTTACCTTTAAAATTGTACTAATACTTCTAAAAGTATTATTTTAAGAAAATATTTATTTTAAAGAATACACCAAACTATATACAATTAATTTAACTCTTATGGGTTTTCATGACTGATACTCCTTTTGTCCGAACGAACTGAAAAAGTGATTCTTTTTTCGGATAAGGATTAAAGTGTTGAGCTGTTTTTGTAAAATTAAGAGTTGTTCCTGAGACTGTGAGAAAGGCACAAATTCTCTCAAAGTTTTATATCCAGTACATATCTTCACAGCACTAGCACTGAGACTGCAACTAATCTTTCAATAGTGAATCAGTTGCTGCCATTAAAATGGGTTTCTGAGGAAAATTTTCACATTTTTATAGTGTTTTGATTGTTTATTATATGATCCCGAGAATTAATTCTTAAACTTCCTATTTGAGTATTTATGTTTTGAACAACATATTGTACTGTAGTTATATAGTCAATGTTGTATTTCCAGAGCTCGTGGATTTGTTTGCGATTCTGGAAGGTTTCACTGTGGGTGCTAATTGTTTAACCATTAGGCTCGTATGTAACCGTTAACCAAACGGAACGACTGCGCCTTCATTCATTCCTTCACGGAGTCTCTGGCTCAGCCCAGAGAGTGTCGTATCAGAATTCCTTATTTCAGTGATCTAATATTACAAATAAAAAAAATTAAAACAGGAGTTGAACATTATCAGTTAATACAACTAACATGTGAATTATACTGTAGATTGCCGTTAAAAATTATATCATCACCATTGTTTTCTGTGTAAACAACTCTGTAAGTATCGTATTCTTCTAGGCTAGGATGTCCACTCTATTTCCCGCCTTGTATTTTTAAGCCAGTATTTAGATCTTTCGTATAATGATTTTGTCAACTAAGTATGTGGAAGATGATTTTATTTTGTTGGTGCCTGGTGCTCTTTGAATTAACGTTCAGTTTAATTCAATTCTGTTGATGAAAAATTATATTTTACCATAAATATGTAAATGACACAATAGTTCTCTTTAACGGAAACAGCAGGCAGTTGACCCTATTAAATACATATTTGTTCAACATCCATTAAAAACATCCAATTTACTCTTGAAGAGGAGAAAGACGGCTCCATCAACTTTCTCGACCTTTCATCGTTAAACAACATGACCACTTTGAATTTAAGATCTATAGAAAACCAACCTGTAGGCTTGTTTTCAAAAACTGTCACTGTACGTCTATTACAGTGACTCCTCTAGACATTAATGTATTGTAAAAGAAATTATTTTGGATATTTCTGCCCCTTTTTCAACTTTTTGATCAGAACGGCTACCTACGATTTGACAAGGTAGCTTGTCTATGTGTAGTCTATGTCAATAACTATAAGTCTCATTATGAAACAGTATCAGAGAAATCATTTATTTGGATACATATTGGGCATTGCTGATCTACTTGTTACCTCTTGAATATTACATCAACGTCAACGACGACTCCGCCGGGCGCCGGTAGCGGTAGAAGGAAGCATGTCGGACAGCATTGGTTGACTTTACCTGATTGACACGACCACGGACCACGGACTGTGGACTGTGGAGGTGTAGAACCGGAAGTGTCTGTCCGTCTGTTCGTTATGTTACAATGTTCGACGAGTCACGCACTCGAGGTAGACCCTACTTGACAGAGACAAGCCTCAGATGTTGACTCTCATATACTTCCTTGACCCATATTGTACAACCATTGACATCGAGTGACGTATGCGTATTTTGTGCATTCGGTGAAATTGCAACAACTGGAATATCCAGTATGGGTTCCAGTATGGCATTCCTTCTCTAGTTTTGTACATTTGAAAACGTTTAGTAATAAGTTTTGAACAACAATTAGACTGCTATGATACTTTGTATTAAACCTATTAATAGTTGAAATTTTATTAGTAAATCCTAACCTTCAAGAACATGTTAAATTCATTGATAACTTAGCACTGCTTGCAGTTATAAAAACCTAAATATTGTAAAATATTTCCTTAAATGTATCAAAATGTATTTCAACAAAGATTAAAAATATATTACGGTTAAGAATTTGTTTTATAACATTTTACGTTTGAATATGTTGAGTGTGCGGATAAACTGTTTGCACTTTATTTTGACGGATTACATCCACAAGAAATATACTTCCGTGTTTCATGTTTGTAGGCAATAAACGTGGTCATTCATTAAATTTTATGAATAGTTGGATTACAGTTGCAGTACATAAGCTACGTGCAGATACACCTTAGCAATACACTAAAACAATAGTGCCACAAATTAAGAAGTGTTGAAGGTTGTAGTGTCAATACTTATATTTTTATCTGTCATGTTTTCTTTAAAAGTCACCATTAATAAAACTAGTGTATTCAATAAAGCTATTTGTTTCAGGTTGAAAATAGATAGAGCAGTAAAACCGTGCTTAAATAGTGTGCTGATGCTCATGGTCATCATAGGAAATGTGGTAAGATACAGAATTTAACATTGAAACACTATACAGTATGTGTTAATCACTCGTTGCGCTATGTATGTACCAATGATAATGTAGGGCATTGGACCTACTAAACCATTGACTAATATTAACTATTTTGTAATGTAGCCTCAAGTTCTGATGGATAAGAGTAGCCTACCCGCTATGCATTCATGATGTACTTGTGCACAAATATTTGCAAAAATAAACCTTAAATATGGCCATGAGGTTCTTAGAGCCCTTTTAAAAATGTTATACGTAAATATACATTTTGACATAAATAACTAATAAAAATTAAAAAATAAATCATACTTTTTATTACTGACTTAGATTAGCTTGTTCTAAATCCAGGATCAAATATTAAAAGCCAAATCGTCAAGGAAAGCAGGATACAGCTTCGATCCATCAAAAATGTACTCAAAACTGTTTTTGATTAAAATACAAAAAAGAAATATCCTACAAAAACTAAGTTACGTTAAGGGTAATAAATAATGAAAATGTTTCAGATATGCAAGGAGACAAGGCAAACTCAACTGTTGAAGCAACCGAGGGAGACAAACCCCTTCAACTTTGTAAGACTACTCATCATGCGGTTAGTCTACGGATTTGCTGTCATGATGGGATTTGAGGAAAGTCTGACAGAAGTGGCCAATGGAGCGTTTGTACCACCTGGAGTAGATGACGACTACGGAGGACTCGACTACAGCAGGGACTCGGACTATGCTTACTCAGACAACGACGATTATTACTGATTAATTGCAATTTCTATATAAAAAATTACAAAGTAAGAAAGGTTTCAACAGTTAAATGTTAACCGTCAAATTACTGTCAAAACCAAAACGTAAGTGCAACAAAGATATCCCAACGAAAAGCTCCATGATAAAATAAGATAATGCATTAACAATAATGGTGTAAAATGTGTATGTTTTTGTATTATTCTTGACAGAAGGCGGAAAAAGGCATTTAGATAAGTCCTATCAAGGCCACACTCAATAAAACGTTATGCTGCTTTGCAGGGTAAACCCATTTCACGATTGTATTACTACTGTACCATGGTGTGCTAATGTTTCAGCACAGTTAAAGATGGGCAGCGATCTACAGTCACACACCTGGTCAAGATGAAGTTGTGGTGTAGTTTTACCCTAAATACAAGGTCATTGAATTGAATTACTCATTTCTATTAGACTTAAAATGTTTTTTTTTATATAAAAACACTGATTTTGTTTAATGTTTTACTATACAGCCTCCTTCTCGAGTTTCTTGAGAAGTAAAAAGGCAATTCCTAAAATTACAGCTTACTTTTATGTTATGGAAACAAATAAAAAGTGTAGTGTAATGTATTACTTATTATTAGTGTATTACTTGAGATAATTAATGACTTGTCAACGACTTTTAACCTCGATGTACATTTTGTATTTATTGATTGCATCATTAATATATGATATATTTTTTAGAACAACTTTTGGATTTGTTATAAACCTGAAAGACCTATAGTAAGGGAAATTTTGATACAAATTCTACAGTAATACTAAGCAGCGTGAACTTAACTTTCTACATAGCATTTAAAGATTGTGAATGGTTTCCCTGCAGAATCTAGATTTAAACGTAGCGAGAGGAATATCTAATACGTTTCCCGCTCTGAAACGTCGGTAAATAATACGTTTTAGTTGCTTATAGATGTCTTTTTGTTCATATGTTATTAAGGGTGTTTGGTCGAAAATTTGATCTTCGATTTTTTTTTATTGTTCAATTATACTAAAAATTAGGCATATAAATATGTAAGAAATATTTGTTTATGTTGAATGCTAAGGGAGATATTGAGCTTGAAAGTTGTAAAATTTGTCATATTTTGGTACCAATTCACAGGGGAATGGGTAATGTGATTCTCACCAAAATTAGCATTCAGGTGTGAAAAAATAAGATGATTATCACTAGCTATTTGAAATTAATTTTTTTTATTAAAAAAAATTTTTGTTTTTGGGTAAAACTCATCTATATGTTTGAATTTAAAAAAATGTGATATGTTAACTCGTTTGGACTGTGAATTCGTACCTTTTATGCCTTGCGCTGGCAGCGCACTACTCATTGAGAGTGTGTACACTCACGCCAAGCCTATGGAATACAACGATACATGTATTCTGTTGATGTTACATGATATTAATAATTACATAGTGTTAATGTATTTTATAGCTCCGGCATGAGTGTACAGACTCTCAACGAGTAGTGAGCTGCCAGCGCATGCAAGGCATCAAAGGTACGAATTCACAGCCCAAACGAGTTAACATATCACATTTAAACAAAATGCAACATATAGATGAATTTTACCCAAAGACGAACAGCTATTTTTAAAATTATAAAGTTTAAAATTTTAAATTTTAAATGGCTAACGATTAATATCTTATTTTTTGCACACCAGAAATGCCAATTTTGGTGAGAATCACATTACCCATTCCCCTGTGAATTGGTACACAATATGACAAATTTACTACTTTCAAGCTCCATATCTCACTTAATATTCAATACAAATTACCATTTTGAAAATGTTCAAAATGAAGTGTTACCTTGAGGATTTATTACGGAAAACAAAACTGTTATGGCAACGATTGATATTGGTCCTATTGTAGAAGATTATTTGCAAGATCTTTTAAAGGTTGCGTAAAGGTTGGAGAACATGAAGGTCCAGGTGGTCTTAATGAACTACTACCGAGAGAAATACAACGGTTCACAAATAGGGAAATGGTAATGAGGTAGTACTGTAGTCATATTCCCTCCCCTCAAAACATTTCCAGCCCTAAATCTTGCATTAGTGTTTATAACGTAGATAACGAATGCTTTAAGTATGCGATGTTAGCCAAATTCGTAGATGGCAGTCACGTTGAGGGACATAACAGTAAATAGGATGATGTATGCCATAAATGCAGCATAATAGGCGTAACTTACACAGTTGTTTGAACTATTTTTAAAAGATTTGAATGAAAAAAGAAAAACTTAATATATCAGGTAATGTGTTTGTTCTGGATTAATCCAACAATGTATATCCTTTAAAAATATAGATTTTCCTTTCGTATACAGCTCATTTAGTTGTAACTTGCAATCACCAAAAATATATCTTTGAAATTTTATTGACTTCGATAGTAAAAATGCACATTTCAATAAAAGAAAGATTGTGAAAAATATATCATTAATCTTTAAGTAACTTTGATATGAGAGTGGCATATCCCAGAAAAAAACAAATGATTTAATTAAAGGTATTTTTTACATGAAAATGCTGAAATACAAATGACATAGCCCATCAAAAAGAAAAATTGTGACCATCTTTATGACAGTCACTAAAATATATCTTCAAACTTTTAAAGAATTTGATAATAGAAATGCAGTTCCAGCAAAAGAAAAATTGTGACCAACATGATTGTGGAAATCACCTAAAAATATAATTGAACTTTGGTTGACTTCAATAGGAAAAATGCACATTCCAGAAAAAGAAAATTGTGGAAAACCAACATAATGCAATCACCTAAAATATATCTTTGAACTATTCGTGGCTTTGATAGTAGAGTGGCATATCACTCAAAATAAAAATGGATGATAAAACGGAAGGGATTCTTGAAATGTACAATTTTTACATAAAAAATAGCATAGACTGGCAACAGAAAAAGTGTGCAACTTGATGACAGACGCCAAAAAAATGTCTGTGATTTAGAAAATAGAAATTCACATTGACCTTAATGGCAATCTCTAAAAATATATCTTCAAACTTTGAGTGACTTCGATGGTAGAAATGAATACTTCGGCAGAAGAAAACTTTTGACTGATTTAATGGCAATCACAAAAAATATATCTATAGGCCCTAAACCCTTTGGTGAATCACATAGTAGAAGTAAGTACAGATTCTAGTAAAAGAAAAATTGTGAACAACATAAAGACAATCACATAATAAATCATCGTAAAAAAAATAATGTCAAAGTTTTATAACCTTTGATAGTTGAGTGGCATATCTCAGCGAAAAAATAAACAAATTATTTAAATGGAAATTAGTTTTGACATGAATAATTGTTACATACATTACATATGACATAGCCTATCAAAATAAAAATTAAGACCAACTTTATGACAGTCACGAAAAACATATCTACAACTTTAAGAGACTTTGATAGTAGAAATGCACATTGCAACAAAAGAAAAATTGTTACTATTTTAATGGCAATTACCAAAAATATATCTTTGAACTTTTAGTGACCAGTATATAGTTGAGTGGCATATCCCAGCAAAATAAAAACTGATGATTTAATGGAAGGGATTCTTGACATGTACAATATTCTAACATGCAAATGACATAGCTCAGCTGTGACCAAGACTTCAATAGCAGAGTGAGTCAATAGTGGCATATCTTAGCAAAAGCAAACATTTTTAACTAATGGCGATCACCAAAAATAGGAGGCTTAAGAAGGGAAAGAGGTAAGGGAAATCTCATGGTAGCATAAAACTCCTATGATTTATACTTGATTTTTGTAAAAGTGGACTGGAAAGAGGGGGGTCATCTACTATAGATCCTTAAAGAAGAATGAACGGATAGCTGAGGAATGTGGTCGTAACCCTTATTCCCTTCCCTTAATCCAAGGGAAGGAAGACATCATCTCAAGTCGCAAAAGATTGAGTTTATTGTGGATTGACGGAACCGATCGAAATGGTAAGAAGAGAAGCTGGAGGAAATGGCCAAAGTCTGTGGATTCAAGACAAGAAACCAGGAGGGTTGTTGAGATCAACCATAGAGAATACTTAAGGATTATATCAACATGGTACTGGACAGAACAGTGTGAAAAGTCCAAAAGAAGGTATACTGGTGGACAGAAGTAGTTTACGAAAACAGGAGTGTGAAAGCAGACTAGGATGAGAATATGAGGACCAAGATTGAGGAAGACTCAAACTGAAGAGGACAGTAGGGCTTTCATCACAAGGGCAACTCATGTATGAGGAATTAGGAAGGAAAGGAAAATTGCATCGCAAAGCTTCTGGAGGGGGCAATGAATGCGATCCACAGAAGAAAAATTCATCAGTCAGCATGCATAACACGATGACGTTAGGTCAGGTTCTTTACGTAAGCTATTTCCTTAAGCTGGATAGGGTTACTAAGGTAGCTTATGATCCATTCTGATGTTCTTCCTCTCGCACCTGGTATTTGCAGTATCAGCAGAAGTTTGTGGTTTAGGCAGTCAAAAGCTCTACCAAAATCTAGGAAGAGGCTTGTAGAAGTCTTAGCTTCTTCTAGTTGGTCTAATATGTGCTCCGGCAGTTGTATTAAGGCTGTAGATGTCTCTGCCTTTGATAAATCTGTGATGTTGACTGTTTATAAGACTGTTTAAAATAAACTATATTTTTGTTTATTTTGGAAAATGTTCTTATTGCAGGCATTGGCCTGTAACTATTTCTTTCTGTTATTCGTTCCATTTTTTTTCATTTTGGGTTAACTTTAGTTATTTTTATATTTTATTTGGGACTAAGCTATTCCTTGTTGGAGACTTGTTTATTAGGTCTGTCAGTGGTATTCCTATTTAATTTTTGCAGATTTTTTAATACTTGGGCTGATATCTTATCAGTTCCAGATGAGTTTATCATCTCTAGTGAGTGATCAAATGGCTTTTTGGTTTTGCACTTCTCCTTGCATGACCAGTCTACTGTCCGTTCCAAAAAGCAATATACTCGAGTTTGAACATGTGTTACAAAGTTATTAATGATCCAATCTTTATGCAGTTCATGCATACAGTTTTAGCTTTTTTTACTCTACGTTATATTAT